CGCCAAGCCGCGGCTCCGAGCATCCGGGCGATGAGACTTGACAGAGCCCCCGGCGCTTTCGGAGCGGTATTTTACATCTCCTCCGTTAATCGCTGAGGACGGCAGGAGAGCTTTCTGAGAGCCAGTGGGAACCTGTGGAGTCAGGGCAGCCCTCCGGTCCGGTCCAGGACTCGTCCAGGAAAATTTGGGGGGCGGGGGGAGAAGGGAATTCGGGTTAATTTAAATATTCTGAAGCCGGAAAAATTGTCGGGGTCGAAACCAGGATTTTGACTCCGAACGGTGGTACCTTTGCTCCCCGATTTCTGGATTGTCTGGATCTTTCGGGATCGGCTGTACGCTTTCGCGTTATTCTGTACAATACACTCTGGACCCCTTGCTTTCCACGGTACTTGTTTTTAGGACGGGTCTTGAAAATCAGTCCAAGTTCTCTGCTTAATTTCTGCCAGAAGGGATTGGTAACCTATTCTGTCTGTCCATAAATGCAAATAGACAGCTTGCATTATGGCCAACGAATAACAAGCGTACAGCGCAAATTCAATAAATTAACACCAAGTCATGAAAAGCAGCAGGTCCTCGGCATGTGCCCCAGCTGCGCTGTTCCTACCGCCGCAGCTGTTACTCTTTTTTTCTTCTAATGCCCACAGATTTTCCTGCAAATTCCGGGGTATTTGTAGTCTCTCAGAAAAAAAACCCCAACAAACCCTGTTGTCTGAAAGAGGAGCGATTCTTCTTTCAGACTGCGGTACCCGCACGGTTCTCCCAGGGCTTTGCGCTTGAGGCGAGCGCTGGGTTTCCAGCCGGTGAAGGCGGGCGCGTCCCGGCGCGGCAGCGCGGCCTGGGGCCGGGGGGGGACGACGACGACGGCGACGCCGCCGCGGGCGCCCCTTCCCCCGCCGGCCCCGCCGCCGGGGGTCGTAGCGTGCTTCCACCAGCACGGTGCGCGGATTTGCTGTGCTTTGTAAATGCAAACGACCGAGCATATCCCCGATCGCGCGCTGCGTTGGTTGCCTTGGTCCGAATCGTAGAAGGTTGCATGAAAATAAAATTACCCTACGGAGCTTGGAAAATTGAGCTCTGAAAAGATTAGTTTCTCTATATGATTTTTAGAGAGTACTGCACAGGGAGTCAGCATTAGGTGTCGTATAAAAACAAAGTGGATATATGAACAGGTGGGATGTGAAGGATGCAAACATGTCACACGAGGTAAACCAAGGTTTGCTGTTTAGAAAACTTGAATCTTCAACGCTTGCCTTGATATTGCATTGTATACAGTAACAGGATCTTATTTTTAGACATCTCTTCAAAGTCAACGATCTTCTTGGTTTTTTTCATTTGTAAACCCTAACTAACTTGCAATTGTTGAATTAGAAAAAAACCTGATATTTAAGAGTTCAGGGGCTTCACCCACTGGGTCCCACATCTCAGCTGAGTTCCTAAATCTCACTTTTTCCTCCTTAAAAGGAAACCATTATTAGATGATGGGTGTCAACTTTATTGGCACACAAATTAAACATTAATAACACTGCCAGTGAGCATCTATTAATACTTTCTGGCTCCAGAGGAGGAACAGACACACTGTCGTTGTTGATAATTGACAATATTTCAATATGTAAACACTTGGATAGACAAGACATAAATATCACTCATGAATTTTATGAACTGAAAGGTTGTAAACACAGTGTTTAGGCTGAAAGAAATGTGATCATTGAAAGGTGAATCATGCCATCCCTTCTGCTCTTCAAATGCACATAGAGTTCCTTACCATCTCTATGGATAAAGTTAATGTCGTCCACAGTGTTGAACATCCGTAGTTCCTGTTCATCAAAGGTAGAAACGTTAAGTGTTCTCCATCATCATTCTCAGAATGAAGCCGTAAATGTTTGCGTTTTCCTGAAATACCTGTCTCATACATAGGGTGGTAGCATTTGGCGTGAGAGTCCGTATCATGTAGCCATATCCTTCTGTGGCTGAGTAAATTCTGCACGGTTCTGGTGTCACGCTGCTGTAGCTGTAAGGTAGAGAGGAGGAATGGCCAATTTAGCCCTGTCAGTTTTGCTGTATGCCCCAAACGATGATGCGGGAAGCCCTTTCCCAGTGTATGCCCACGCTGGGTGATACGTATTGTGGAACCAGTTCAGTTACTTGCTGTTTGGGGCTCCAGCTATTGCAGTGTGTTGGGAATTAGGTCCTGCAACAAGCACTGAAGTGTCTAGAGAAGAAACTACTGTAGTAAGAGAAAGAAGATACTTCAGTTGTAAGGAGGACTTCTGGAAGATGTGGAGAAGATAAAAGACTGTGAGAGGGTTATTACAGAATAATGATTTATTATTGTATGTTGTTATGTTACAGAATCACAGCTAAACTTTCAATGAAAATCCAGAAAGCAAATAGTCCAGGAGACGGTGTAAGGAGGAGAGAAAAGAAAATAATAGTTGGCTGTATAGGGATAGCATGTTCTCTCTTTAAATTGTGGGTTCATTCAGTTTTCCTAATCTCAAAAAGAAGACACCTAAAAGTGTCACAAAGATAGCATAAGTAAAAATCACTAATGAGATTTCATTGAAGGGAAGAAGTCTAAAAGATGGAGACCCATATTTGGAAAGGAAAGAATAGAGCAAGAAACATTTCAGAAAGTAGAAGAGCAGATGATAAAAAGGAAAGCAGAGCGTTTCTATTTAATACAAGAGTAAAAACATGCTCTGGAAGTCGAAAACGTTAAAAAAGGCGGCTAGAACTGCTGTGATACGGTTATGTTGGTGGGTGTGATGATTGCTTTCTGTTCAGCTAGACCGTGAAAAGCAGCCAAGCTTCTCGGAGGAATCAGCTACTTGAGACAAAAGATGCACCACCCAATCACTGGCTCAAAGCAAAATATGAGACAATATTAACCTCGTGACCCAAGAAATTTCACTGGCAAGCAGAGAGGCTGGGTACTGATTTTTTTGATAGTGTAGGTGTCTAGGTATGAGAAAGAAGCATAACAAGGATAACAGAATCAAACACAAAGAAGAGGGAGCCAGAGACAGAGTCAGAACAAAAAATGGAGAGTATGGCTTTGGGAAGGCAGAGTGCAACAAAATGAAACAACAAAGCAGAAAGGAGAGCTATTCAGGTTTGCTGCTAACCAAAAAAATAACCTCCGTGTGTTTGATTCCTCTTGTTCTCAGAGAAATAAGAGTTTGGACATTCTTTGTGGACAAACAGGATTACATCAAAGAAATGGCTGATTCGTCAGTAGTTTTTTCCTCTCGGTGACACCACCACCACCTTAGGACCCTCAATTACTGCTCACTGCTTGGGTCAAGAAGGGGTAATCATATTTAGTGTAATGGATAATTAATCTATGGAACTCACAGCAAAGAATCTTAGTGAGATAAATAATTTTGTAAATTTCTAAGAGCTTTAGACAATTAGTGAAGATATGACATCTGCTGTTATATTTTCTGCCCTGGTAATTACAAGGACTATTAATTCTGTCATCTCAGGGGAATGCTCAAGAGAAAAGATTGGGAAGCTGCTTACATTTATGGTATCTTTATATAGTTAGATGACTATGTGAGCTTTCTTCTGAAGGGTATAACATTTTTGACAAAATGCTGAATTAGATATGCAACTGTTTTGGGGCTTTTTTATACCTCCTTTATTTCCAGTAGATTTGGGCAAAATTATTAAGATGTTTGTCAAATAATAAGAAGAGTTCAGGTGGAAAATAAATGGGAGCTGGATGTGCCCGATCGCACCTAATAAAATTTATCTCTAATTCAAGTAAATTATTTTCTAGAAGTGTCCAAAATTCATATATGCAGCTTGCTTGTACCTGTATTTTGACTTAGGTTATCTGATTAATAAAGGACTCTAATTCATTTTTGCCAGTTAAGCATCCCTCCTCATTTTCAAAGGAACCAAGCGCATAAAAGTCCCAGTTGGGAGCATTTCTGAAGGTTAAGCCAATTGCATAGAGTGTAATAAGAGGAGCTTTGGCATCCTGCTCTAGGGACACTTATTTAAAATTCATTGCACGTCCTCTGCAAATGGTGGGCACTTTCTGCTGCCGTTGGTTTTTTTTAGGCCTGCTGGTCCTGCAGAACTTCACTACCTCATTATCAGTTCTCATGGGGAACCGATGTGTATAACAGAGCTGGGAACCCGGTTGCTTCCCTGCCAGGAGGGCATATTTTAGCCACCTAGAGTGGCTAGAGAGTTCTAGAGAGTGATGTTCGCTTTTGCTCTTTTGCTTGTCAGACAATGATTATTTTTAAGTTTTTTTTAAGCAAAGAGCATCAGCTTCTACAGGATCATTTGTTATTCACCTAAATATTCTACTCACAGTTATTTTATTACCATAAAAGTTTAACCTACCAAGTTTCTAACCCTACCCCTGATCGAGAGTTTACTATAGAAGTATAGAGGGAGTAAGAAAACACTGGAGCATCCTGTGCATGGCCATTCTGTAATACAGTCTTGCTCTTCCCTGAAGAGCGATGTCGTGGGTCCTCCTGCTGTAGTTGGCATGCGCCTCCCGTTAGCTGTCAGCTGCTTCCCTGACAGCTCTCAACCTGCTGATGGCAGCTGATGCACGCATTTGCGCGCGCACACACACACACAGAGTATAAGCTGTAGGTATACTTACGCTGCCTGGATACATTTAGGGGGGAGAAAGAACAGATTTACCCAGTAGTGTGCTTGCAAGTTCTTCTCAGCTGTGCCAAAGCAAGCATGAAGGGGACCAGAAATGGCTTGAACGAATGTGGAGGCTACTGTCATCAGTGTAGGATTGTCATACAAGAAAGGAACATTTTCCTTCGTGAGAAAGTAACTGTTATGTGGAACTATTGAGCATTCTGTTACAGAGAAATGTGATAAAATTAAAAAATAAACATCTGAACAGTTAACAGACCGATCGAATTATTTACGATACAGCTCATATTACCTGTTCAGAACAAAGTTGCTACCAGAGAGCAATATGGTTTTGGGGAAAAAAAGTACTGGGTTACTGAAAAATATGCTTTACAAAATTAGTGTTAACAAGCAGTGAAACCAGAAATGCATCTAATTCAGCAGCATAAAGGTAGAACAGAGGGGTAAACATACCACAGAGACCAGATTTATTTACAGTAAATGTGAAGGCAGTCACAACAATGCAGAAGTGCTCAACATGCAGACAGCAGTGATACCCAGTACAAGCAAGAGTTTTATGAAATAATCTTCCTCCATATGCATTTTGCAAAGAAATACAGATGAAAAATACAGAAACGGTTATAACAGCTGGAGGACAAATCTGTAATGATGAAGATGAAGAGACACGGTGTTTTGCTGGATCTCATCATATGTGTGAGATGTTTGTTATATAATGCTGGGTAAGAATAAACATAGCCATGACAATTCAAAAATGACACTTGAGCTGTGTGAACCTTGTTACAGCTGTGGCATGCTTATGATTAATGGCAGTCCAGTGGGCTTATGATGTGTTTTCATTTCATTTTCTTGTCTGAAAGAGGATAATGAGGTTTTCTTGCAGATGCTTACAGAGTCATCCTTGCAAGTGTGAGAGCAGCATGGGACCGAGCCCAAAGCTGGGTTTTTGTTTAATGGAAGGCAAGGGGAGCAGACGTGGGTTGAGCAGAGATGGGAGTTACCTCCTATTGAGATAAAGTGAGAGTTAACAAGTAGGGAAGTAGGTAGGCCAGAAAAAGCCTTGGAAGTGGAGACAAATAATTTACATGTGGTGTGTTAGAGAGGAGAGGCCAATGTTCAGTGCAACATCTTTTGCTTCCTATGCTGCAGGCAAAACACGATGACCCAGTCAGGCAAAAGTGAGAGCCATCTTCTCTAGTTACATACAGCACACAAATCATGTACTGAGGCTTATGAATACAAAGCTGTTGTGGCAAATTCCTTCTGATTTCTGGAAAACAGAAGGTAATGTGGGCTAGGAGAAGGCTAATAAGCTTTTGGGAAATACCCTGTATCTGCTGTACATCACGTAATCTGAAGTCCCATACATGGAGTTTGAAAGGGTAAAAGAGGG